AAATTGGGAATAAATTGCATTTTTTACAGCCTGGAACGTTGTTTGTGGCTGTGTGGATGAAAATTAAGTTTTTAAGTTTCATTTTGGGGTGGAACTGGGGGAGATTTGAGGTCTTTTCCCAGCCCAAAGCATTTCCATAGTTTGGGAAAAAAACCCCAAACTATTCCATAGTTTCCATATGAGCTGCTGTTTTAGTCAATTTTTAATTTTTATATTTGCATGTATTAGACTTGTGTTTATGGTTTTTTTAATTTTTTAAAATTTATTGTCTTTTTTTATTTGAGGGTTTTTTGTTTGGGGATTTTTTTTTGTATTTATGTTATTTTTGTATTTATTTTATTTTTTTTAAATTGTATTTATTTTATATTTAGTTGTATTTATTTTATTTATTTTATCTCACCAGCCTGGAGATTTAATATATATATTTCTTTATTTGTATTTATATATACATGAAATATACATATCATATATATTATATATGTTACACATATCTTATGTATATTATATATATTATAAATATTTTATATATATTATATATATTTTATATAAATAAAATGTCACATACATAGTATATAATATATATTTCATATTATATATCATGTATAATATAAAGATATTATATATAAAATACAAAACATATAATATATATTTATTTTTATATATTATATGCTATCTATTATATAGTATATATAATATACATTTTATGTATTGTATAATATAGTATAATATATACTACATAATGCATAATATACACTATATACTATATACTATATAACATACAATAATATCAATATATGATATATGCTTATCTTTATATGTTATATATTTTATATATACTATATTTACATTATGTATAATATATATCATATAATATTTATCAAAATATATTATATAATGCTATTTTTTATATAGGTATATGAAATGTATAAGGCTATAAATAACAAATTCCTCTTTTTTCCCCTCCCTTCCCCCAGGAGAGCTGTATTTTTATATATTATATGTTATCTATAATATAGTTTATATAATATACATTGTATGTATTATATAGTATAATATAGTATAATGTATAATATATGCTACATAATGCATAATATATACTATGTAATATATAATATATATAATGTATGATAATATAAATATATGATATATACTTATCTTTATATGTTGTATATTTTATATATATTGTATTTATATTATGTATGATATATAATACATTATATTTATCAAAATATGTTATATAATTTTTTATATATGTATATAAAATGTATAAGGCTATAAATAACAAATTTTCTTTTTTCCCCTCCCTTCCTTCAGGAGAGCTGTGCTTGATGGGAAAAGAGCCATAGTTCTCAAGCCTGACTGGCCAAAGGTTGGTTTCNAAAATTCAATTTATTCCTCCTTAAGGTTTTCAATAGGAATAGCCATTATTAATTCTGAACTGGCTGAGAATAATTTGAATTAATTGGAAGTTGCACTAATGATCCCAAAACTTAGAAATTATCCCACAATTACAATGAACATTCCCATGCAAACCAATGGGGTTTTCTGTGTGGAATTTTTGGAGGTAAATCTGGTGAAAATTCCATTTTTATTTATTTCTTCTATGATTTTCAATAGGAATAGTCATTATTAACTAATTGGAAGTTGCATTAATGGCCCCAAAAGTTATGAATGATCCCACAATTACAATGAACATTCCCATACAAACCCATAGGATTTTCTGTGTGGGGTTTTTGCAGGCAAATCTGGTAAAAATTCAATTTTTTTCTTCTCCTTAGGGTTTTCAATAGGAATAGCCATTATTAATTTCTGAGGCAGCTGAGAATAATTGGAATTAATTGGAAGTTAATGGCCCAAAACTTAAAGTGATCCCACAATTCTAATGAACATTCCCATACAAACCCATATTTCTGTGTGGAGATTTTGCAGGCAAATCTGGCAAAAATTCAGTTTTTTTCCTTCTCCTTAAGGTTTTCAATAGGAATAGCTATTATTAACTCTGAACTGGCTGAGAATAATTTGAATTAATTGGAAGTTGCACTAATGATCCCAAAACTTAGAAAATATCCCACAATTACAATGAACATTCCCATGCAAACCCATGGGGTTTTCTGTGTGGAATTTTTTCAGGCAAATTGGTAAAAATTCAATTTTTTCCTTCTTAAGTTTTTCAATATGAATAGCCATTATTAATTTCTGAGGTAGCTGAGAATAATTGGAATTAATTGGAAGTTAATGGCCCAAAACTTATGAATGATCCCACAGTTCTAATGAACATTCCCATATAAACCCATAGGATTTTCTGTGTGGAGTTTTTGCAGGCAAATTGGTAAAAATTCAATTTTTATTTTTTTCTGCTTAGGGTTTTCAATAGGAATAGTCATTATTAACTAATTGAAAGTTTCATTAATGGCCCCAAAAGTTACA